TCTTAAGACCAGGCAAAAATTTTTGGATTAAAATTAATTAAAAAAATTTTTTCCAAGAAGAACTGCCAACTCATATACATGAAAAGGTAAAAAACAGATTTTCTCTCTCTGTCTCTCGTTTTCAAATATTAATATATATATATATAATATGCCTTATTTAAAAAAAATAATGTTACATTTACGTACTTCTAGGAATGTTGGATCGCTTTATCCGTCTCAGACAATTTTTCATCATTCTTGTTCATTAAAAAAAACTATTTGTTTGTGCATATTTGGGGTCAGATTTTTAAAACTTGTAGTTTAGACCGAAATAAAAATTATTTCAGCAGAAAAGTTATATAAGGGATGAATAAAAAGGTGCTTGGAACGTCTGAGAAGTTCACTGCCCAAGGATGGAACTCTATCAAAAAGAAGTAAGTCTGACATTTGGTCAGATTTTGAAAAAGTAGGACAAACTTTTATAGACTATGTGTAATTTCAGAGATCTGTTAAAACCAGGTTTGACAATACTGTCTTAGGTTATCTATTCATTTTTTTGTTTGTATCTGACTCTATGTCATAATGATAATTTTTGAAAATTAATATATATATATTGCTTTAATATATGTTTTTACTTTAAATAAACTTATTTATAGCTGACCTTTTTCACCAAAGAATTGACTTTTTTAAAAATTATTAAAATGTATATAGACAGGGGGTTGGTATTGAAAAGCTGGCAAATCAAAATGGTTTGGTTTGGTTTTTAAACATTAATCATATCATCTATCAATGGGTTATTTAACATCGACAAGATTTTTATTGCTGACATAATTTTTTTTTTTTATAAAAATGTATTTTGGTATTTATTTTTTCAAAATGCGGACTATTTTTAATTTTTTTCTTCATTTCATTTATTTCATAGTGTTTTGATTCCAGTCTGAGAGGTTAACATTCATTTGTCCATAGCTGGAGCCCAACAATTCCTCCTGTACCGTTATTTGTGAACCTGGGACCATAAAAGCACCATTAAGATGTGTTTTTCTCTTAAAACAAAAATTTACTCAGATTTTTATAGTTTGTTGTATCAGTGTAGTTTATCGTCTGGCCCATAGTACGACGCAGATGTATTTTTATATTTTATCTAATAAAGGACGTGTGGCAAATGTATATTTGTGTATATCTACACATTTAGACATAGATGAGAGCGGATTAGAGATTATATAAATTTATAGTTTTGTGATCAGAATAAGTTAACTTAATTATTATTACAATTTTATAAAAAGGATTGGGGATGTGGAAAAGTTTAAACCAGGTTTAACAATGATAACATAGGTTGAATATTGATTTTATAGATTACCGTAATCCACCATGTATAATCTATGTTTTCATTTCAGTAAATTGCTGTCGATTATGGGAAAATCAGTTTCCGTTTTATACCCTTTTATCTTAAAAAAAAAAAAAGTTTTGTTATTTCATAAAAGGTCGATTTCTGCCATTCATCACCACAAACATACAACAATTTGACACTAATATTCGCCGATTGTGACCCATAAGGATGTCAAATACAATCAATTTTTACTAACAATACATTAACAAATGTATAATAAAATAAAATTTTCAATAAAACTTAAATTAGATTTAATATTATTGTTCTGTTAAAACCATTTTTTGGTAAAAAATTACATACGGATTTTCACATGTACAATTTTATTGAACAAAAACAGGTTAATGAGTCTGCGAAATGTCACAATCTTCCATATATTCCGTTTCCTTTTAGAATCATTAATGATGATCGGAAATTTTGATAAATATCTTCAATCCGTTTTTTTCCTTGGATAATAGTAATTTTATGTGACCGTAATGAAATTGAGAGATAAATTTATTGGGTTTCATTACCTTTCTCTGTATTATTATCGGGAAAAAAACCATTGGCATCTGATCGATTTTAATCACTTCGATCTCAGACCTGCCTTATCCTTTTGTTGTGATTTAAGTTTGATTTAATGTTGCTGAGATCGAATCTTCGCATTTATCTTCGTGTTAGGCTGAATTTTACAAGCAGGGCGAAGAAATACAAAAATAAAATATGAACATAATTGAACAAAAAAACTTTTTTATTAACTTGGTAGGTTTTATTTGTTGTTTTGTTGAAGTTATATTTCAAAGGATGAAATATGGAAAAATCCTTAGAGCGATCACGCGGGGGTATCAAGACCAGTGGCTGGGACGAACTATCTGCCGTCTTTCTCCTGTCTCCGTCTCCGTCTGTCGTCTAGATTCTTGGGCTGTTCGTAGGTCAGATCCGCACCAAAATATAGTCTTTCAGGCTCGATCCCGGCTCGCAGCGACCAAATGCGGTCCTCAGGGTCGATCCTTGGTCACGGCAACCAAATGTTTTACCGTGGTAACAACAAATAGTATCACAAGCATCTCGACTTCCTTCACTTACTCACCTACGTGACCTGGCTTCACTCTGACCTTTCTACAAATATTTTCATGGCAACTGTGTTTGATTTTTTTTTTGGTACCCTGAATATTCATGAAATTTTAGCATTAGGTTGGAAATTAGGTCTCCATTTTTTTCTGCCTTCCTCGCACGTCCCACCTGTTGGGTTCCTTTCTGATTTCTTGCTTCCCCGTTAACTACAAACTTCAAAGACATATGCAACACCAGTCACTACCCATGTTCCTTTTTTGTCTTCTCATCCTCTTTCACTTCCTGTACCACACTGGTTCTAGTGGCACTATCGCCTTGCTTGGTGTGAAATCATTAAAAATGAATATCAATCGGTCTCTATACTATCATCTGCTTCTGCTAAAGCTCATATCATGCAAGCGTTGAGCCTATGAGATCAATCCTGTCTTCCCCCCCAGTTTTCACGGTCTTAGCAGAGCGTCAAAACATTCTCCAGCGCCAGATTAAGCTACCTAGCGGGCGATCTCCTAGCGGCAGTGGTATCTACTGGCTCGATTACGTCCTGCGATGACTTGGTGACCACCCTACTAGAGTCATCTACCCGTTTGACCTGCCATCAGTAGTACCACATGTGCAAATCAAGGAGAAGATCAGATATATTTTCTTATGCAAATGTCTGGTCTTAGAAAGCCATATTGCACGGGCACAACCATTTCGCTCTAAATAAGATCTCAATCTACTGTCTTCCTGAAATCTGTTCTTTTAATGCCCTTTCTCCTCACTAAAGTCTTTTCCTTCTCTTTCTCTCTCATTAACTCCTTGCGTCTTAGTGGCATTATCGCCATCTTTTACCTCTCCGAAACCTGTATTTTTATTGTCCTTTCCGTCACTAAAGTCTCCTCATTCCCTTTCACTAACAGTAACCCTTTGTGTCTTAGTCGCATTATCGCCATCTTCTGTCGTCCTGAGACCTCTTTTTTATTGTCCTTTCTCACTAAAGTCTTTTCATTCTCTTTCACTCTCATTAACATGTTGAGTCTTAGTGTCATTAGTGCCATCTTCTGTCTTCCTGAAATCTGTTCTTTTATTTTACTTTCTCCTCACTAAATTTTTCTCATTCACTTTCACTTCCAGTAACACCTTGCGTCTTAGAGGTATTATCGCCATCTTCTGTTTTTCTGAAAGCTGTTCTTTATCGTACTTTCTCTTCACTAAAGTCTTTCTCGTTCACTCCTATTAACCCATAATCCTGGGTATGACGATGCACTATATCTGGCAGCGAGGCCTCTGATCGGGAGTTTTTAAGGGGCGTGGAACCACCTCTTAATTGCTGTTTTTCCCCAGATCGACACTGGCCCGGGTGGTAGCATCTGTTAGTGTCCCAGCTATGGGCAAATAGTTAACTCCCTCAAACACGGGTCAAAACACTATGAAAGTATAAAAAGTATAAAATTAATTTTTTTATAGTAAAAATACCAGCAATACATTCTTTTTTTTTTGCTTAAAACAAAGATATTATTATCAACACATTAAAAAAATTAGCAGTAATAAATAAATAAAAACAATATTACCTGCAATACCTTTTTGAAAAATAAAATTACCATGAATACATCTGACTTAAGGCAAAAAGCCTCTCGATAAAAAAATACATCAAGGAAACTTTATCTACAAACTGATTTCTTACAAAGAATATATTCATACGTACCTATCTTGTCGGCATTAATTACACATTGGGGTTCTGATATACCGTAAAACAAAATAAACCAAACCTGATCTACAAAATGATTTCTTACAAAGAATATATTCATACGTATTCTATCGTAAAATCTTGTCGGCATTAATTACACATTGGGGTGCTGATATACCGTAAAACAAAATAAACCAAACCTGATCTACAAAATGATTTCTTACAAAGAATATATTCATACGTACCTATCGTAAAAATCTTGTCGGCATTAATTACACATTGGGGTGCTGATATACCGTAAAACAAAATAAACCAAACCTGATCTACAAATTGATTTCTTACAAAGAATATATTCATACGTACCTATCGTAAAAATCTTGTCGGCATTAATTACACATTGGGGTGCTGATATACCGTAAAACAAAATAAACCAAACCTGATCTACAAACTGATTTCTTAAAAAGAATACATTTTCTATTCATATGAAACTGTGCTAAAAATCTTGTCGGCATCAAATAACTCATTGAGGTTGATATACCGCCAAGCAAAATAGACCAAACCAAACCTCGTAACCCATTAAATCTCAGTGGCTTTAACGTCTTACTTGGGGTGAAATGATTATATATATATATATATATATATATATATATTGCTAGCATGAAAATAATGCTGCAGGTAATGTCGTCGAGAGCTACTGGGATTTCGTTTATTTCGCAGTCATATTGTTTAGTTCTTAGTCTAACACTAATAGATGATTGCTGCTAAATGTAGCGTAAGAACAGACCCAACAATTTCCAACGACAAAAAGAATATGCGATTGAAACCGTTTACTTCAAGACATCAGCTGCTCATCGAACTTGCCTCTTTCTCCATTTTTCTCTGCTCGCTGATTCGTTCTTCGAGTGAAAAATTTTCTAGCAATTCTCTCTTTCTCTCTCTCTCTCTCTCTCTTTCTCTCTCTCTCACTTTCTCTCTCTCTTTCTCTCTCACTCTCACTCTTTCTCTCACTCTCTTTCTCTCTCTCACTCTCTCTCTTTCTCGCTCTCTCTCACTCTCTCTCTTTCTACGCCCGACCCTCCAAAAATAACTTTCCCTGCCCAGTCTTTCAATATTTTATTTCTTATTAGCTTCATCGGCCACTTAATCTTTTTGCCTATCAGCTATCAAAAGTGTCCGTTGTTGTCGGTAAGGGGTAAGGAGGTGCTGGTGTGCTGGGCGTGGTGTCGCGAGAACGGGTAGGGTGGCATGCCTTTAGGGCTTCCGTCGAATTCCTCACTCTCGTCTAAAGACACCTTCCCTAACCCACCAAGTCGCCAAGCCATCACAACGGAAAATACCAAAGCTCACACGCGTTTTTTTTTTCTTCTATTCCCTAGTGTAATTAATGAGGGAAAATACAGTTACCTACACCCACCATGACTAACCTTCGACTGCTAAGAGTTACTTCCCCTTTCTTTTTAACCTTACGTCTTCCGCCATATTTATATGGCGCGTTTATTTCACTTTGGTTGAGGCTTTGTTCATGTTTTTCCCGCCATTTTTTTTTTTTTTAATATGGAGCTTTTGCAATATTCATTCGCGTCTTTTATTCGTCGTGTATGCCTGTCTGTGTGTGTGCGTGTGTCTGAATCTGTTTTTTTTTCTTTTGTTATTCAATGATTTTTTTTCTAGTTTTCTTTTATTCGCGTCTGTTAACCATCGATATATTCATTCGTTTTTTGTAAATTTATATTCTTTTCGTTTTCCGTTTATTCTCCATTTTTTTTCGATTCTTTCATTTTTTTTTTTTTTGCGTCTGTGTATTCTTCTTCTTTTCTTTTCATTCTCTTTCTTTGAATTTTTTTCTTATCCATTTCTTTGTATATTTCCCCTCCCGCATACTTGTATTTCATTCATTTCACATTTTTTTTTTATCCCTTTTCCTTTTTTTTTCTTTCTTCTCACTTTCGTGTTATGTTTGTTATGTTAAGACTAATTATTTTTCTATAGTTTCCTTCATTTTTCATTTTCTTTCGACTCATTTGGTCTTTTGGTTTTTACGCCATTCGTTTTACTTATTCACAATTTCCTGTCAGTCTTTCTTTCTTTCCTCTGTCAGTACCTGACACTTCTTTCTGACTTTCTTTTCTTTCTTTCTTTTTCTTTTTCTTTTTCTTTCATCCTGACATTACTTTCTTAAATTTTCTTGTTATTGTTATCGCCCTGAGCTTAGTTTCTTTCTTTCTTTCTTTCTTTCTTTCTTTCTTTCTTTCTTTCTTTCTTTCTTTCCTCTCCAATCTCCCATTTTTTGTTTGTCTGTTTGCTTGTTTATTTGTTTGTTTCTTCCTTCCTTTCTTTCTTTCGTTGTTTGTTTGTTTCTTTCTTTCTTTCTTTCTTTCTTTCTTTCCCTTTTTTTTGCTTGTTTTTTTGTTTGTTGCTTTCTTTTTTTGTTTGTTTCTTTCTTTTTTCTTTACTTTTTCATACTCTCCAAATTTTTCCTTTCCCTTTATTTTTTATGATTTTCTTTTATTAATTTCCACTTTCTTTCTATCTTTCTTTTTTTCCCTCTTTCTTTATTTCTTTCTTTTTAACGACAAAATATTATCCTCTTTTTGACCTACTCTTCCTGAAACTTGAAACAAAAAAAAAAAAAAGAAAACACAAAAAAAATGGAAAAAAGAAAAATGAATTTTGTTGGGAAAATGAAAATAATTAACTAGGGAAGCCCTAAAAAACCCCCCTCTCCACACATAAAAAAAAAAAAAATAGAAAAGAAAAGAAAAATAAATAAACAGAAATGAAAATATAACGAGAAGCTCTAATGTTTAAATGTCAAAACGAAGCTTCAACACGATGCATTAAATGAAAGAAATAATAACAATAATTTTACTGATAGTTCACACAATACAAGGCCCAAGGGTCGCTCAAGGTAGAGGGTTACTGAGTGAAATTGTAAGGCAGGGGAACAGGAATGTAAGAGTGTATTATTAGTATGAGTACGATAGATAATCATTGACCTTGCAATTAAATACATCAAGTCATATTTGGCAAGAGAGCATTCTCTCGGGCGTTTGCTCTACAAAGTACCATTTCTTGAGAATAAGCTGTCTAAGGAGATGGTTTGCTACTGTGAACACTGGCCTGATGGGTCCGGACTAGTAGCATTGAGGAATGTAACTCGTCCGAACATCAACCCGTCCTGGGCATGACGATAAACTACATCCGACAGCAAGGCCTCTGATCAGGAGGTTTTGAGTAACGTGGAAACAACTCTTAATTGCTAGTGTTCTCCGCTCCATCCAGACCCAAGTTAGTAGCACCTATTAGGGTCCCAGCTATGGGCAAATCTCCAAAATTCCAAACTGGAGATAAAGCACTATGAAAACGTAAAAACAGGTTTGAATACATTTTTAAAAATAATTATAAACAGTAATGAATTTTTGATGGAAAAAATATTACCAGCAATAAAAATCTTTTTCGGCATTAAATAACCCATTGAGATGTTGATATGCCATAAAACAAACCAAACCAAACAACTAAAGGATCGAATCAGTTTCTTGATGTAAAGATGAACATCCTTAAGAAAGGCGTCGTACTTGACTTAAAACCAAAAAATAATTTTATGTTAAATTATAAAAATATTACCAGCAATAAAAATCTTGTCGGCATTAAATAACCCATTGAGATGATGATATGCCGGATAACAGAACAAAACAAACCGATCATGAGCCATTTTAATAGCGATAGAGATAAGGGTAAGATTTGCAGGGTGGAGAATGATTCAAAATTCTTTTGACCTCTTCCTAGTCTGGACAGTGAGGATTGGATATATAAACATACAGATATGGCAGCAACATTCTATATCTGGTTGATATATATATGGAAAGATAGAGTATGGCAGGAGGAGTTAGGTATTTTCAGGAGCGATATAATGGACCGACCATTCTTCCGGCATCATTGACGATGCCACCGAATATATGCATACCATTCGTGGTTTGATGTGAACTGTTGAACTCTGCCGAGCCTGGGCTGTGAGAATTGGGCAGCTCCAGCCCAGATATGGCAGCAATACTCCATTCTTAGTCTGATTTGACTCTTGGAATGATAGAGCAATGGCAGCAGGAGTTAGGTATTTTCTGGAGAGATACAATGAACCGACTATTCTTCAAACATCTTTGGCCATGGCACGAATATATGTATACCATTCGAGGTTTGATGTGAACTATTGAACTTTGCCGAGCCTGGGCCTAGAGAATATGTTTAAAGTAGATATATAAAGGCAATACTCCATTCTTGGTCTGATCAGACTCTTGGAAAGATAGAGCAATGGCAGCAGGCGTTAGGTATTTTTCAGGAGCGATACAATGAACCGACTTTTCTTCCTGCATCTTTGGCTATGGCACCGAATATATGCATTCAATTTGAGGTATTTATTTATACTTATGAAATTTTTAAAAAACTGAACAAAATTGAAGATTAGGCAGCCTCAGCCCAGATATGGCAGCAATCATCCATTTTTGGAATACAGGACATCTCCCTGGAATAACTGACAATTTAATTACGTCTGAATAGGGATTTGAATCTAGTTGATTAAAAATACTTTCAAAAATGGTGCCAAATATTATTTCTATATATTTATAGGAAAATAGTTTTATTGATTTGATGTGGGGTAATGGTCAGCAAATGTCCTAGGGAAACATAAGTTATATTAGTTAGTTAGAAAATGATTACAACTATTGTAATGGAAATTAAACATTGCTTGTATCACTAGTTTAATTACGACTGAATAGTGAGTTTGATCCTCACTGGTTGCCCTATATTGTCTTCGTTGTGCTACATCTACGATATAAAATACAGAATCAATCACTTTTGCAACCTTGTATATTTGTTTTATTTTTTTATTCGTGGGGAAATGTTGACAAAGTCTTTGTAAATTTATTGCAAAAACTTATTTAAATGATAAATTTCCCCAATAATTATATATAATTTTATGAATTTATATATCTGTGAAGAAAAAAAAAAAAAAAAAACAAAAAAAAACAGTAAAAAACATTCTCTGTTGGTCAATTATAACTTCAGAATAATTTTTCACCGCTTAACAATGTGTACAAATGTGTTAAAATTCACTGTTTTTTTTTTCTTTCTAAATTGGAGAATCACTAATTTAGATAAATTCTTCCTGTAATTTATTATCAAATTTGTGTAACGTTACAAGGAAATGTATTTGCCACGTGACAAGGTAAATTTACTAGTATATTTCGCCTTAGACGTCTATATATAAATTATTTTGCAAATATCCTTTTTTTTTCAAATTGTTTGACCTTCATATCAACTTGCTTAAGGACACCCATAATGTAAAATCACCGGTTAAAGTCGAAGAGCATGCGAAAGAAATAATAATAATAATATATATATATAAATATTTAATATAACTTAAATATGAATATTTCAAAACGGACCTCTGATTCTATTTTTCTTTAAATTGCATGGAAATATCTCTGTAAAAATAAAAATATTTGTAGAATCAAAAAACATTAATAATATCTAAATCTCTCTGATTGTCTTCTGTCTCTCTCTTTTCTAGATAGGATATAAATATATATATATATATATATATATATATATATATATATATATATATATATATATATTGAATTAAAGAAAGAAATTCGGATTACTAACACACAGAGAATGTCTTATATCGAGAATATTTAACATTGAACATAAAAAAAAAATTAATTATTTTTTAATATGTGGAAAACTTTTATCTGAAGACGGTCGCGAGACCAGAAATATTTCGTTTAGTAAAATTATGTAAAACAAAGTATAATATTTTTTTCTAAATAAATCCACATTACAACCAAAAACGTTTAGGCACCTCTCTTCTCTTTTTTTAATATACATATTTTTCTATATTTGGATATACTATATATATATTTATATATATATATATATATATATATATATATATATATATATATGTGTGTGTGTGTGTGTGTGTGTGTGTGTGTATGTAGAATACAATGACAGGGATTATATTATATTTATTTTTTTTTTTTCATTATTACAGGTGTAAGAAAATTACAATATATCATTTTTGCCATTTTGAATGTCATCTCTTTGAGTGAAAATTTAAAAATATATCTTTTTAGCGGCTAGTAGGTTGAGAGATGACCGGAAAAGTATAACTTTTATTTTTTGATTTGTATACCCCTTTGTTTAATGAATTCTTTGATATCCCCCCCTACCAATCTGTAGTATAAGTCTAGCCTACCCCATAAAATTTGATAAGTATCTGTCGTTGGCGACGGAAAATTGAACATTTGTGGAAAGTCACTTGTGTTATTCTCCGAGCATGTAAGAAATGCTAAATGTAGCATCTTTGAATGATACTTTTCCTGTAGTTTGATATGATTCTAAATCCTTTTGATTCAAGTTGATTATATTTTCCTTTATTTTGTAAATTTTTATATATTTTTTTTTTTTTTTTTAAATCTATATAGTAAAATCTGATATTCCACCTTGGAGTAGTCACTTCGACTTATACTAAGTTAAAATTTAGTATCGTCTACCCCACTGAATACCATACACTATTATGAACTATTCTACCTTCGATATATTAATAAATCCACATTGTAACCAATCTCATTGGTTGGGCGTGCTCTTGAATCTTCTTCGAGAATCGTCCTAAAGCTGGTAACCTGAACATAGTTACCTCTTGGCGGTCAAGGTTAAAAGGCATCTCTACCAATTTCAATGAATACGAATAAAATTTCATACCGGATCGGCCGTCGTCCGAGACATCAAGGGCCGCGTCCCTCAGAGAGGAACCAGTCTGAAGACGAAAAATCTGTCACTAGAACAAACTCTTCCACACACGAAGAGACACTTGGTCACCAAACCCGGATTATTACCAACCTTGGACCAAGTGACTCAATACCAAATCGACTAATAAAAAGTAAACGAACGAAATGGAGCCGCGAAGAGTATCGACAAGTCATGACATCCTTCTTCACTGCACTCGAAAACCCAGCAAAGAACACCACCAATCAAACATACCAAATATGGAGAAGTATGGTGGGAAATAATATAATACCTACCCTCAATCCAAACATGTTTGCCAATGTCCGTAGTGACATTATGCGAAACAACAGACTCTCAAAGGCAGAAATAGATAAGATAAAATTAGATATGACAAAATACTATGACCCATCACTCAAACTCTATTGTGACGAATGTAGAAATAAGGAATGTGACAGAGGATGAGGTGGAGGCTGAATCGAATGAAATACGAAATAATCTCCCAGGAAATGAAACCCAAGACTCTACCTTAAACACAACCTGCAGTTCTCCAGAAAATGTACCTGGAGTCATCTTCAGTGACAATAAGTTAGAATTCCTTGAAAACCACGAAGCTGAAA